CCCCAAAACCCCAAAACCCCAAAACCCCTAGCCGAAGAATAGCATATAATCTAAAGAAATAAGTAAAAGATAGATTAAAAAATCATCACTTCTTTTTATTAACTTGCTCCTCTACTATTCTTACTTCCTCTCTAAGTTGAGCTATTTTTAATTTGCTCTGGGCAACATCCTATATTCCACAATAAACTTCATTAGCTAACTTACATTAGGGAGATCAGCATACTATTGATGAATTATTTCTTTCATTCTGGCTATCTCATTTTCAATTTCTCTAATTTACAGACCATATCTCTCTAGTAATTCCATGCTCGCACCCTATGCCTTAAATTCTTCAATTAATTTTGACTCCTCCTCAACTATTTTTTCTTTATCAATGATGTGTATTTCTTTATCATCAGAATCTTTTTGTAGCTTTTAGGCATACTAGCCTAATTCCTTCCCTTCATGTTTCAACTAACCTTCTTATAATGCCTCTAAGATGTCTTTCAATGCTTACTTCTTCTACTTTCTGGGGTTAAGATTATTCTTTAGTTTGTTTTCAACCTTCTCGTATTTTAGTGATAAAAATTCCTTTTCATAAGCTAATTTTTCGGCTATAGTTTCAAATTAGAAAGCTAAGTCCTAGGCAGGTGAGACACCCTAATCCATGCATAAAAAGGTCAAATCTTATATATCTTTAAGTGCAGTTTTGGATAACTACTATCCCTCAATCAAATCTTTTAAAGGATTTTCATTAATATTTAACTCAGCTGTAAGAGTGTTTGCTTCTAGTGATTAGAGCATGAGACCCTGGCATTGCGCTTAAATCTACGATTTCTTCATCAGCATAAATAGATCCTATACTAAGATATAAACTTATGAGTAAAATTAATACATTTTTTGGAAAAGCCTTAAGGATTCTAAGTTTCCTCTTGCTTTAAAATAGCTAAGAAATTATCAGTTTTAATGCCATTTGTCCTAAGCCATTCTTTTAGCGAGTCAAGTGAAAGCTTATCTGAAGCAAGTCCTTAATTTTTCATTTTTAAATTTGCAAACTATCAAATTTAATCCTTTTAATTATATAATTCTTTGTGGTTTTGGGGTTTTGGGGTTTTGGGGTTTTGGGG